CGGCGTTTTCTTAACTTTTTTGCAGCATTTTGAACCGTTGGCTATAAAAATAGGCGATACATGTGTCATTTTGAGAGTGATATTTGGAAAGAAAAATCCTTTTTTCATTATATTTCACTGAAACAGTAAACATCCTTCAGCATTTTTATGGTAACTTCTACGCTTTTATTAAAAAGTACCTCAATTTTAATTGCGCCCATGGCAATTGCGCCAGGGGGGCGCAAATAGAATAATGGTGTAGCTATTGTATCACGACAGTATGAATGGATCATTAACTGATTGCAATAAAGAAGGAGTTTTATGTCAGGCAGGGGAGCAACCCGCCATCGTCAGTCCAAAAATTTTTTCTCTCATCGAACTTATAATGTAGCTGCCATTTGGGCTATGAGCTTGCCCGGTGTAGGGGAAAGTGGGTGTATTGCGCCCTCCTAACCAATTGCGCCCACCAACATTCCCACGGTTTCAATGGCATGATTAGAAATTTGTGTTCGAAAACATTATTTCACTGAAACAGTAAACTTCCTTCAACATCTTTATGATAACTTCTACGCTTTTATTAAAAAGTACCTCAATTCTAATTGCGCCCATGGCAATTGCGCCAGGGGGACGCAAATAGAATAATGATGTAGCTATTGTATCACGACAGTATGAATGCATCATTAACTGATTGCAATAAAGAAGGAGTTTAATGTCAAGCAGGGGAGCAACCCGCTGTCGTCAGTCCGCAAATTATTTCTCTCGTCAAACTTATAATGCAGCTGCCATTTAGGCTACGAACTTGTGGTGTAACTGACAAAATACGACATTTTCAACATGGACTCAGGCGTGAGAGGTGACAGCTATGATAAAAAGTAAAAACTGATGTCATAAAGTTGTCGAAACGATAAAAAATTATTAATTTTGAGAGAAACGAATGAAAATTTAACCGTATAAGCGCATACGTTCACATATATCTAGTCGGTTACAGTAAACGTTTTCGTTGCACTTTTACAAGCGTACGGACACATGTCAAGTTATCTACTTGGGCAAAAAACATCGCGTTTTATATCTACATTTATTATTTATCCAGCTTGAATAACATTATAAATGTTTAAGTAAGCCGCAATGACATTAGACTGCCGGGGTGTATGCATTTCGTCTCATTCGATTTGCCATGTTAAAGTATAGGGCGCAATTGGGTTCTAATTGCGCCATCCCCCTGGCGCAATTTACAGCAGTTGTTGGCAAATGCGCCCTTTTGCATGTTTCTGAAAAAGCAGCTGTCAGAAGCAAACGAAACATTCTTAATTGATCGGGAGGCTCTTAAATCGTAGCCAATGAGTTCCTCTTTGAAATGGTTACCAGTGCATGCCTATATCTCCAGCGGTTTTCTTACAATTAGCGTTTTTCCTTAAGGTGGCGCAATTCACCCTCCTTCCCCTACGACCTCCCTCGACCAGCTTTGTGACCTGAGTGGATATGACCTGACCTGACCTTGATCTGAGGTCAACACTCTGATTTCATTTCAACCACACAAAAATGCATTAATTGACGAGCCTGAGCATGACAAACACGATGGTGCCAGAAACGCGGGCTGGCGACCATTTTTGGCGAAGTTATTTACTAAAAACCGAAGCTCTTCCTTGTGGCACGTGATCTGACCACAGAAGTCACCGGTCAAGGTCAGAGAGAGAGAGAGAGAGAGAGAGAGAGAGAGAGAGAGAGAGAGAGAGAGAGAGAGAGAGAGAGAGAGAGAGGGAGAGAGAGAGGAGAGAGAGAGAGAGAGAGAGAGGAGAGAGAGAGAGAGAGAGAGAGAGAGAGAGAGAGAGAGAGAGAGAGAGAGAGAGAGAGAGAGAGAGAGAGAGAGAGAGAGAGAAGGAGTCGTTTAAGTTTTGGTTAAGCGAATCTCTCCCTCTCCCTCTTCCTCTCCCTCTCTTTCTTTCTCTCTCTCTCTCTCTCTCTCTCTCTCTCTCTCTCTCTCTCTCTCTCTCTCGTCGATCTCTCTCTCTCTCTCTCTCTCTCTCTCTCTCTCTCTCTCTCTCTCTCTCTCTCTCTCTCTCTCTCTCGTCGATCTCGAAGTGGTAGCTAGATATCAGCTTGCGGTGACCGAGTCTTTGCTTAATGTGCTTGTTTGCGGGGTAAATGGGAAAACAAGGCTAGGGACTAGATAGGGAGCACGTTTCAAAAGTCGGAAGATGTGCGAAAGTTTTCACTAGACACTAAGCATTCATCTACACGCCGACAGAAACTGCTAACCAGCACATACCAACGCCTGGTCATTGATAGTAGGTCTCATAGTGAATACAGATACTGTTTGTCTCTTACAGTACATTGAAATATTTACATTTCTTCGCTCGTAAAATAAATGTTTATTGTTATCGTTTTAAACAACTTTTGTATCTTTAAAAAATATACATGAATTCCTGGACATTCGATTTCTTTTTTGCTGATGCATTTATTCACCAAATGTTTACGAGCAACACAATGGTTGTCGTTTTTTTTTCTGGATTTGAGTCATGGATTCGAGTTTCGACTGTATCCGGTTTGGAATCCATTAGGTCCTCCTGGACCCGCGGCTGGACTTAACACTCCGTTGGCCCCCGGACCCAGGGTGAACGCTGCCTAACAGAGCTGGCAACTCAGCCCGGGCCGGGTATACCGGGTGTCCCAAAAGTAAGGTCATCATTTATTTTTGGTATAACTCCAAAAAAAATAAAGCGACATCAACGAAAAATGGCTCATTTTGAACGCCAGACTCTAAAATTATATTGCGATCCTAAACATTAACCAATGTTTCACTTCCTTGTCCCCATTTACTGTTTTTCGACATGACCACCGTTTCGGGCCGCGCACAGGATCAGACGGCGCTTGGCTTCGTCCGCCACTTTGGCGCAGGTCTCCCGTGTGATGCCGCGAATGGCTACTCGGACTGCTTTCTTGAGCTCATCCAAGTCCTTTGGACTGTCCTTGAAGACGACCTCCTTGATGTGTGCCCAGAGGAAGAAATCAGGGGGCGTAAGATCAGGTGACTGAGGAGGCCATGCGATGGCGGCGCCCTTAGAAATCACCCGATCTCCCATGAACTCCCGAAGACACTGCAGGGTCTTTAGGGCGGTGTGTGCAGGAGCACCATCTTGCTGAAACCATTGCTGGTTTATGGTGTCAGCACAGCGGCGCTGCAGAGAGCTGAAAAACCGCTGGAGTACCCTCTGGTACCTCTCCTGGGTGATTGTCAGCGCATTACCACTATCGTCCTCGAAGAATATCGGGCCGACGATTCCTTGTGCGCTCAGCGCACACCAGATCGTCACCTTCGGCGAGTGCAGTGGATGCTCATGGTGGATGCCTTCGGGAGGGGATTGGCTCCAGATCCTCATATTATGTCGGTTCCCGTCTCCATGTAGGTACACATGAGCTTCGTCCGACCACCAGATGTTCTGCAGGAACGTGGGACAGTCGGCGCACTTCGCAATAAACCATTCGCTGAAGGCTTTGCGCTTCGTTCGAGCTTCTAGTGAGAGTGCTTGGACATTGGGAATCTTATAAGGACGAAGTTTTAGTTTCTTCCTTAGTATCCTTTGAGTAGTAGACCTTGATAGGTTCACCTGCTGAGCCAGGCGGCGGATAGAGACTGTTGGTGTCTTCTCTACGATTTCTTTGACCTTTTCAATGGTATCGTTAGAAACGATTGGGGTTCTTCCTTTTCTTGGCTGATCTGAAGTTGCGCCTGTCGCGATGAAATTATGAGTGAGTCTACAGAGATAGCTCTAGCTGATGGGGTGTTTTTTGGTCCGAATACGGAACGATATTTGCGCTTTGTTCCGATGATAGATCCTGTCTGGAGGTAAAATTGGACTACTTTAGTTTTCTGCTCACTGCTAAGCCGAGCCATCATCGATCATGAAAAAAGTATGCTACGATATAATTATATGAATACATCTTGCACGTGCTAAAATTTCAAAACATTCGTGCTGATGCTTTCTGAGATACTTCAATTTCAAATGATGACGTTACTTTTGGGACACCCGGTATGTTCTCGGCACCGGTGACTGCGGCCGTCCGTGCACTGTAATGAGCAGCCCGGGGGCCGCTAGTCCCGCTCTCCCTCTCTCTAATGGCCGCGCCCGGCGCAGGGGCACAAAAAGCCCTATCTCGAGCCGGCTGGCCGGGCGGAGGCTGGGTCAAAGGTGCTCGTCGGCAGCTCTTCTGGCCTCGTTTCGTCAGAGCCGAGTGCCGTTTACCGGACGGTGGCTGCTGCCGACCGACCGGGGGCGGTGACGTAACAGCGAGGTCGAGCCCCGACCCGCGCCCCGGGGCACTGCGGCCGAGGGCGCAGCGAGAGGTGCCCATATAAACAGACACGGCACAACAGCCCGCCACCAGACGCCGCCAGTCCACAGTCATGAAGGTAGGACGCCGCGCCGAGAGAGGTCCGATGCGATACAGACCACTTCTGGTGTTCAGTATTCGTGATACCACCCTCCTGTGTCTGAGTTCGAGTGACTCCCAGTGCCTCTCAGTGCCTCCCAGGGACTCTCTGTGACTCTCAAGGCCTCCCAGAGCCTCCCAGGGACCTCCAATGACCCCCAGTGACTCAGTGACTCCCAGTGCCTTCAAATGCCTCCCATTGACTCCCAGTGACTCCCAGTGACTCCGAATGACTCACAGTGACGCCCGGTGACTAGTGCTGACGTCCCTCTCCCTCTCTCGCCAGGTGTTTGTCGTCGCTACTCTGCTGGCCGTTGTGGCTGCCGATAATCCGGCCCCGGCCCCGAGCTACCCGGCTCCGGCTCCCAAATACCCGGCTCCGGCTCCCAAATACCCGGCTCCGGCTCCCAAATACCCGGCTCCGGCCCCCAAATACCCGGCTCCCAAGTATGCGCCCGCCAAGCCCGAAGTCGACTACCCTCCGGTAAGTTTCGTAGCTTTTATGTATGCTGAAGCGAAACTCTTTGTTGCCATCCAACATCTCGTGAATATTTATCGTATTTAAGCATTTATCGTATGGAAGTATTTATCCTATGCCGTATACTATTAAGGATTATTTGCCAGTGCGTTGATTCTCATTTTGATAAGTGACTTTTTTTAAAGATATCTCTTTACGGCCGGCTGCGCTTCGGCCAAAGCAAAAAGAGCATTTCAGTGTAACAATACGAGCAGTCAATAAGTTGTGCCGAACCAGCCGCTTCCCATCTTGTGACTTTTCTGTCCCTTTATCCAGCAAGCCCAGTCCTGCGCCTCTATTCCCTTTCGTGTCTCCGTGCATGTGTCTCTGTCCGTCTCTGACAGCCTTGTCTCGTGTCTCGGCAGGTCCCTCCCAAGTACACCTACGGCTACGAGGTACAGGATCAGTACACGGGAGCCGACTTTGGTCAGCAGGAGCAGCGGGACGGCTACCTGACCCAGGGCAGCTACCGCGTGGCTCTGCCCGACGGCCGCATCCAGACCGTCACCTACCAGTCGGAGGGTGACGCCGGCTTCGTGGCCGACGTCCAGTACGAGGGCGAGGCCCAGTACCCCGCCTACGAACCCAAGTACCCCGCCCCGGCTCCCAAATACCCTGCCCCGGTCCCGAAATACCCCGCCCCGGCCCCCAAATATCCGGCGCCCGAGCCCAAGTATCCGGCGCCCGAGCCCAAGTACCCCTCTAACTAAGGCGCCTTTCGTTCCCTTACAAGTTACGTGATTCCCTATCCTTGGTGCTGACATGTTTATGTGTTTGTGTGTTTGCTTGTACCTGGATGCATGCGAAGGAGATTGAAAGAGAGTGAGTGAGGAGAGAGTTGCATGCATCTCCTTGTAAGTGAAAGTGCAAGGTTACGATGTAACCGCCACGCCTTTGACTACCACCGATCGTGATTTGTCTGTTGGTATTTATATATTGTGTTCTGTGCCAATACATACATTGTTGTAAGCTATAACTGTGATGTGGGTCGATATGAAAAGAAATGGAGCACTTGGATTATGAATGCACGATAAAACTTTGCATAGCCTGTCCCAATGGAAGTTTTATTGCGATTAATCTTGTCTGGGTAAATCGCATCTAATTTTACTTTTTTTTACAAGACGAGAAAATTTATTGCGACTGATTTGCTTTTCGAGGCAAATCAAAAATGCGAAAAGCATACCTTATGCATCATTAAATGTACCCGAGCAAGGAATTGCCATGCTAATCAAAGTGGTGTGCAGTGAAAGGGGCAACTTGACTTTGACACAAAGCATTGATTGCAAAATACTTTTAAGTTTGAGGTTACTGTACACGTGAAACACTTACCATAAGTAAAGTGTTAAAGTTCTTGGACGTTTATTCTTCTGTCATGCTTTAGTGCATCTATTGCAAGGTTCGAAAACCCTTCCCTATTTAATTACGATTTACACGTACGATCCCATTGCTACAGAACAATGAATAGGTATGCATAACACGGCAGCGAGTAAGCTCCCCGACGTATGTAGTATGTCATTGGTCTCATTTTGTGTTCAAGTCACATCGGCTGCTATATTGATATTCTGTCAGGACTTTGGGGCAAATGCCCTACAATGCAGTGACTCAAACTTCCTGGCTATTTTAGCCAATGATTCACAAACCTGTTACACTGGCAAATGGGATGGGGAATAACTTGTCAGAGAAGCTCAGAAAGCGTGTGGTTCTGTGTCTTATCTGACTCCGAGGCAACATGAAAATGAGAGGAACACGGAATAGATGGCATATGGCCAAATAGCTGCCCAACTCATGGACCTCGGTATACAGAGATCTATGACTCATCATACATCGAGTGCATAACCTCTTGAAGAGAAGTAACGATTCGGACGCTCGATTCGGAAGTGGCTATAAGAATATCCATTTGATATAGGCCTGTTTCACTAACAAATAAAGTGTGTAATTACAAAGAAAAAACTTGAGTTTAAAAGAAATAATTACCAACATTTGAAATTTGGATTTCACGAAACCTTCGGGAATGAATTTTGAGTTTAAAATTTACCAACTTTTTTACAAGAAAAAAGTTTGTAAGAAACATCGAAATCGCAAACTTTCTGTTTCACGAAGACCAAAAACTTGAAAGAAAACGTTGTACTTACAAACCCGAAATTCCAGTGGCCCTTACGTTTGGAATTTTATTACTTTTTGTGCAATGATGCAAAGCAATCAACTATTTAAAACAAATATGATATGCTGAGTCATTATATCCTCTTTTTCACTTAGCACATTCCCTACGAACCAGCTACGAGCAATAAATAAATATCGTCATGTTTTGTCATTCGCGCGCCATAATTGCATTCAACAGTCTTCTGCTGTCAAATGTTTTACGTGTTATTTTCTTTCAATAATAAGATATTGTGAACTATCATTTATACCACTCAGAAACGGCATCATTATTTTTAATTTATTCCTGCAATTTCTGACATGAAAACTAGACATAGTTTGATAAAAAGAAGCAATATCTGTAACATGTTAAAGTTCTTGATTAAAAACAATTTTACTGTTTACAAGTTTATTTACCAACTCTTTTTATCGGAGGTGCCGCTGGTGATGAAGTTTAGTGAAATCCGATTTTACATAGTTTGCAAAAATACTTATGAATTGTAAAGTTCAAACACTTGTAATCGCAAGTTTTTAGTGAAACAGGCCCAAAGACAGGTTCACCAGAGACCATATTTTCTAATATAATTTTACTCGTTCGCGACAAGCCAATTTTTCGTGAAACCTAAAATTCAATTTTGTTGTGCTTTTCGCTAATTTGATGTCTATGACGCATACCTACACATATTGAAATAGGTAAGTGAGAAGCAACTAAATGATTGAATAGGTTTGCAATGTTCTATAAATATCAAATTGTATTAATATCAAAGATATTTATTACAGTTTGATACAATTAATCAACCCTAGCGGAGTATATGTATCATATCAAATTAAATATGTATAAATAAATATAAATATAAATATTAAATCGGCTAGTATCAAAGATACTCACTACAATTCAATACAAATAAACAACCCAGCGGACAAAGGGCAATATGTAGCTGGAATATACAGCAACATTTCTTAAAATTCATCTTGCTTTAAATGCACGTATTTTGAGATTCACTAGCATATTTTTAATTTTGTTATTCACTACAAATGCACCCTGTCCAGCTAGCCCACAGTGACCACACGCACATGTAACACTCTGTCCATGGCACTACGCGGCGCTCCAGTACGCGTAAACACGTAAATCGTCCGAGTAAAAGTAAAAGTATCGCCACCGTCCCTCTAACGCCACCGCGCGGGCCGGCGCTCGCTGTCCACTCGTACCCGCCGGGCATATGGCTCCTTTTCCGACGGTTACTCATAGACTCCTGTTACAATGGTAGGGCAATCTCGATTACAATGTCCTGGCAGGCTGGAAGCGACACAGCTCTGTCCATGACCAGGGGAGATGTTGAAACTCGCCGCGGTGGGCCTCGCGCCGGTCAGCGGCCGGGCGCGGTCACCGCTCATTGTTTCAGCGGTACAGGGCAGTCCACCACCAGCCATCTGCTCGAGCGGTGTGCCTTCATTTGTACCGCGGCCGCCGCCAACACCGTCGCTTTCGCTCTCAATTGGAGAAGTAGGCTTATAAGCGACATGGTGCGAGGATTACTTACAGAAGTGAGTGGAGTCGGGCAGTGAGAGGTGGTGGGATCACAAGTGTTGTGGCGGAAACATATTTTGTTTAGCTTGGACCAAGAGGAGGTGCACTGCAGATATGAATATTTCCATTCAGGTGAGTTTTTGACAGATGACTGAAATGTTCGAGCTCGATCCCGTGAAATAGTTAACATATTCAAATCACAAGCAACTGGCTAGTGCTCTAGCGACTAACCGTCCTATGTAGGCTGCTTTTAATTGCCAGCTCCTCCTATGTAAAATCTGTTTACCATTGATAGCTTTTTGAAGCTTACCACGCAGGTCACATGTGCTGCCTTCCATCATGCGGATTCGTGCTCCAACTGCTCCACTGCTCTGACAGACATAATAGTCATGTGCTGGCTTATTTAATAAGCCGAGCGGGCCGTGAGCGTCAGTTCACCTTTCCCGGCGCTGTTCTCAGATGTGTCAGCTGTTGGCCCTGTGCCTGGCGATGACAGCTGTCGAGGGAATGAGAGTTCGAGTCCGCGGACGGCGACCTCGGCCCTTCATCAGACACGGTGAGACAGGGACGAGATTGAATTAGTCCTCTCCAAACTTAGTTATTCAAGTAAGTAACTGAAAATGCAAGGCGGAGAGCGGATAGCCGAAGCAGTGCGCAATTTATCCATAAATAATTTCAAATGCCAATACATTATCATAAATTGTAAGCATGCAAGAATAAAGCAAATTATCAGATAACATTTTTAAATGAAACGCCAAGTTTTTGTTTGAATAAAGAAGTTGCTCTAACGAACCGGAATAGTATAGTTTTAGACGCCACCCTGCCCACCATTATAATATATATTAGCCGTTTTCACGACGGGCTATCCGGCGAATGCACCTGATTTGACCAAATCTGCACCTAATCTGTACCAGATGTGCACCAAATGTGTACCAAATGGCCGTCGTAAAAACGGCTATTCTCGTCACATTGCGTGGAAGCAATAGCCCATCAGTAGCCCGGCGTGTGTGGTTTCAAATTGTTCGACTGATAATTGTTCCGTGTATCGCGTACAGAGCTACTCGAAATAATCGCTTAATTGTTCACCGTAGCTGCTCCGGGCCACCATCATAACGGTAAAGCTCGTGCTGGAGTATGTAGTGACGCAATTACCAAACGCATAAAACTCAGACCGCTAGGCGCTATATGGTAAACTGAGATCCACCACGTGGTATGAAGAAGACAAAGATAGGTGCAGGCGTCAAGCTCTGGGGCCTAAAAAGTGTATCGGATGCCAGATTAGATCTTTGTCCAATGTAGGTAAGTATTGTTCTCTGTGGTACAGCAGGCCTTATTTGACGGATCGTTCAATTAAGCAGGCTCACCCCTTTACACAGTAAAGTAATATTGGATTCGCCTTGCCACATATACTTGCCGCTTCCTCGCATTACAGTCTTGCTCCACCCTCTGACAACCGTTCTCGGTTCAGACCCCTCTCAAGCCGTTCTCTCGATTCTGATTTGCCCCGACGTCTGACGGCACGCCCCTTTGACAGGCCGTCCCCGTCGACCGGTTCCCGTGTTCCTGGCGGTGCCCGGCGGACAGGCGGTTCCCGTGTTCCCGCTGGGAGGTCAGCCTCAGGTCCAGCCGACGGAGGCAGCTGTGGCCGTCACGGAGCCCCAGTCGCCGGCGCCACTGTCCCTGTCACCGGCCCACCCCCAGCCGCCGCAGCCCAGCCCCTCTGAGGTGACCAGCACGGCCCCCACGGAGCCGGCCCTGCCGCGGCCCGCCGCCCCCGCTGCCTTCGACAACTTCGACGAGGACTTTTTCGACGAGTCGGGTCCGTTCGGCGGGTCGCTGCCGCCGTTCCCCGATATTTCGGCAATCTTCAGTGACGTCGCTACCGGCAGAAGTGACCCGACGCTCTCGACCTCGGCTGAGGGGCGCGCAGAGCCGCTGACCCAGGAGAATGCCCTCCGCAGACTGGACTCTGACTGGCAGGGCGTTGAGGACGACTCCAGCTGGCCTGTGCCGAAATCGCAGGACTACGCCGACCTCTATTTCCGCGCCAGTAAGTAACCACTCCTGCAGCAGCATAGGCTTATTTTCAGATAGCTGATAAAAATATTGAAGAACTGCAAAAGTTGCACGCTGATTACGTAAATGCGATTACTTGCGAGCATGAGCATTGCGATTGAATGATTAAATAAAGAGTAAAATGACTCATTTGAAATGCGATGGTATTCAAAAGCATAAGAGTATATGAGCGCTGAATATTGATAACTTATGTTTCTGTTCGTCAGGTTCTCCAAAGTTCTAGTCATCAGGAAGCAGAGCGAGCTTCCTGCACGAGCCACGCCCATTCGCAAGAATGGAGGATCGCGATGTTCGTGAAACAAAGTTCCAGCTCAGTTGATCATGCCAAAGTGTTTAGAAATTGTGGTTGAATTCCCTGTTAAAGCGATGTATTGTTACGAGTCTCGCGGATATTTCGAACATCTTTGCATAGTTGTAGGTATTTATAGAGATCATTATGTGGTAGAGTATAATTTCTGTTGAGTAGCTCAAAAGTTATATCTAAGCGTAAGTTAGAGGACTTGCGAGTACCTTGTTATGTTTACTACGAGTATAGCGATTTGTTGAGTGCATATGGGGGCACTATGTACATCGCAGCTGCATTGTAGAAATACTCTTTGCTTGTCTCTTGCATCACATGACATTGTATGAATAATTAATACATATATGAAATAGAGCGAATGAATATTTGTATCGCCATCACGTTATTGGAAAATATAACATGCTGCTTTAAATTCGAGCATTCACTGGCAAGGGTTGGGTGCAGTGGTGAACACAAGTCAAAATGCAGCCATATAATCGTGTTCAATCAATCACGTCATTATTTTAATATATGATTCCAACGCTTATTAGCAATCGAACATTTTCTATTCTTGGGTGATATCTAAGTACAAATCACCACTTTCTCTCCAAATTTGCCACAGAACTGAAAGTAACTGCACCACAGAAAACAAAATACATCAAACAAACTGAGTATAATAATTTAGCCCAGTTGCACCTGCACCACCTGCCGCGTTCAACTCCCCCCCCCTCCCACCCACCCATCACCGCCGCTGCGTTTCTCACGAAGATGACGCAGCACCACCCGTGAGGAGCCACTTCCCCACCCGCAGCCCGAACTGTGTCGAAATGGTGGTCCTTGACCGTCCGCTGCGCCAGGCGGAGGGCATCCTCCACTGCCTGTTTACCGTCACGCGCCGTCTAATTGACGCCTGCCTCGGCGGCTATTGCTTCTAATCACTCCATATTGTTGCTTGACGACCAATATTGCCGGTTCTGGGTTAAAGAAGGCGCTCAAAGTGCGTGGACTCCGTTATTGAATGGGCCGTTATTTTAGGTAATGGTCTGTTGTGACGTAAATATGGCAGCCGAATGTCGTCACAGATGATTGTAGAGATTACTGCGGTAGCGATATTTTCTTAATCGAGGTCCAACGACGAACGATGACGATATTTCAGGCAGTGAAGCGACTAGGGACGTTCAGAGGAAGGTGTAGTGATAAAACGGGACACGGAACGCTATAGGGTAATGAATTATGTCATGAAGCACAGCTCTACATAGAAGCACAAACATCAGTAAACAAGTACTCGAGTGCCCAAATAATAATGCCTGAAGTACAAACGCAATAAAGCTGTCAAAAACTGCACATTATTTGAGTTGTTCTCAAAGCTAACTGAGCATTGATGTGACTTTCGATAATAAGTGAAGGACTGATATTTTTTTTTTCCTAACTACACCGCCACCCATTAATAGGTGACCAGGAGTGCCCCCTCCCTCAGCCCAGCGACTCACAGAACCTTACTTTACCACCAGAGAAAACATAAAAATGGCAAAGTCGCGGCACTCCCTGCTAAGAAACGGAAAACAACTCAAAATAAGCAACCAGTCGGTAAGAGGAAGTATGGTTAGTTAGAAGAAAAAAAAAACGGCAAAAGATGTCCCCGCTGAAAGCAGCGGGAGACTAAATCACTACTTCCAATACCATGTTTTATGATGTAAAAGAACACTCATTCAGGGTTAGTAAAGGGACACATACATACACACAAAGCACAGGTTCTGGTCAGTATTCTGCAAAAGGTCATGTGTGACCGGATGAACCCTTCCAGCTAAGCAGAGCTTGTTGCTGGTCGGGGTCACCGGTCACAACGCCGTAAGGGTGGGTTCGGTGTAAGCCACAGTCACTATGGCTGACAGGCTACGCTATACGAGTAGGTGTTTGGAGGAGTTGAATAAAAAACTACAACGTGATACAACGCATGCATATTATTCTATTTGAAAGTACCTTATTTATTTGCACATTTTACTATTGATTATTGAACGCACACCGTTGCCCGGTTCCGCACTGCTGAAGGGCGACTGACGCACTGACACACCGACGCACTGTCAGCTCGCTGACTGACGACAGACTGACTGACGGAGGTGTAGCCGGCAGAGTGGGCGTCGTGTACCGCGTCGAGTGCCGCGTCTCGTGCACCACTGAGCCCACCATCCAGCCCGGCTCGGATACGTACATACTCGATATACGTACATACGCATACAAACTATGCGTTTATTTAGCGTACAACATTGTTATATCTTGAGCTTGGTTCCAACTAATATTGCATCATTTTAGAAGCGAGCTGTAATCTTCCCAGCCAAGAACAGCACGACTCTTCCAGTCATTCACAAACTGATAACAAGACGTAAACCCTCTAACACTCATCCGTAAACTAAAAAACATGTTCCGCACAACAAACATAACCCAAATGCCACTCACACAAAACAGACCGTTCATTTCACGCTCTGAAGCTATCCAAGAATGCCAATACTACTGACCCACTGTGCCGCCCCTCACACCGTCCACCGCCCACCGTCCACCACCGCGCCGGCGGGCGGTGGTCCGTCACGAATCCCCGGCGTATGAATGTAGCGGGCGGTGTTAGTGTGCTGTGCGCGCGATGCGGTCTCCGTGCCGTCCTCGGCCGGCCAGGTCAGTCGCCCTTCAGCAGTGCGGAACCGGGCAACGGTGTGCGGCCGAGCACCAGTCACGGCGGAGGGAGCCGAGCCGGGCTGGATGGTGGGCTCAGTGGTGCACGAGACGCGGCACTCGACGCGGTACACGACGCCCACTCTGCCGGCTACACCTCCGTCAGTCAGTCTGTCGTCAGTCAGCGAGCTGACAGTGCGTCGGTGTGTCAGTGCGTCAGTCCACGGACAGTCCGCAAACCATTTGGAAAGTGGCATTAGTCGAACAATTTGTGAGAGGTCATCCACGCACACTGCTGTGGAAGTTTTATCGGAAGCGGGCGAAACGGACGGTCCCGAGTCAACTCATCGTGAACTCTAGCAGCCGTAAGGCCTCGACCTTTTCGGAAAATGTGAAAAACTCAAAGAGCTATGCTGATCACATGCAGAACAGTACTCAGCACCGGAAAGTGGTCGTAAAAGGCTCGGCGATTATTGACGATAGAACGACACTCTGGACTGTGGCGATAAGGACTGTGACGCAGGACCCCGGGACTGGCGGATAGGCAGTGACGATATCTACATAATGGTGACAGAGTTGTGATGTGCGGCGCAATCGGTGGCTAGTGGTGGTCAGGAGAGTAACCACGACATAAATGACTGTGGATGTTTGAGGTTCACAGTGACAGCGAATAGTGACAGGAGACAGTGATAAGATCGCTGATGTGACAGCCCATCAGCCCATGTGAGTGTGACAGTGCTGAGAGCTGTGACTGTGAACTCGGGTACCATAAACACTGGTAAGAGCGGACAGGAAAAGCTGCGGTGCCTCTTATACACGCATCTCTTCAACATGCATATCATCAGGATCGGAGTGATTGTTCTTCTTTGCAACAGCTTTCCAGTGGTGAGTTTACCGAGACTATGCTAATAATTTGGCAAGTTGGGTTTCATATTCTTGCGTTCAATCAAAGCACTCCTATGTGTAAAAGTTAAGGATAGGCAAACGATAGCCAGTAATTCTTACATCCGAAACAAACTTAATTAGACCGTGAATATAGATTCTTGAAAAAACGTTTAAACACACCTTTCTCACAGTACGGTCAGATTCAATCTCTGGAAACTTGTAACAGCCCGACTGAACCGAAATCATTCCAACTCTTTATCCCATGTGTGAGATAAATCCCTCTCTCCTTTCCCATGTGTGAGATACCTCTTTCCCTTCCCATGTGACTCCTCCGTGACTCCACGAGACTCCTCCGTCTGTTCCTCAGGTGGAGGCAGCCGGAAAGCTTCAAGTCCGTCTGGTCAGCTTCAGTAACCCCGAGTCGCGCGCGCTGGGCGGTGCCTGCTGCCAGCCCACGGCGCGTGCAGAGCAGTCCTCCTGCAGTGGCGAGTGCAATACCTTCTTCAGAGTCTGTGCGTCGACCGGCAGCGGTGGCAGAGACAGCGGTGGGTTTGACGCGAACGGTAGGAGGGTGCGATCGCCAGGAATCAAACTCACACGACTGCCCTCCCGTCGGTTCAACAGGACAAGACTTCATCCCATCGTGCCACCGCCAGAAGTGTTGTCTCATTGGCTGGAAGAGACAGAACATGTGAAGAGTTCCTCCGGTGACAAACTGGCTGAGAATCTTCCATATAGAAAGCAGGAACAAGGGGAACTAAGTGTGAAAGGGGAGGAAGAGGACCAAGAGGAGATAGAAGAGGGAACGGAAACTCAGGAGGACAACGAAGAAAAGGAAGAACGGATAGATAAGGCACCACCTGACGCTGCAGTGCCTGTTGACGATCGTAGTTATGCCTCGACTGATTCACCCACGTTGGAGCGTGAGCTTCCTCCCGATCCGCCAGCTGCAACGAAGTCCGAGCACTCTGCAGGCAGCTCGTCTGACGGAGACGTGACTGTTAAAAGCGCCACAATACAAATCGTCCGCCAGGCCACTCCGTTCTCTGTCGTCAGCCCTCCAGCTCGAGATGCTATTCAGAACCGACGGGGGGAGCTGCCTCCCACAGAAGACGTCTCTTTGTCCCCGGACTCTGAGCTGTCCGAGCAGGAGAATGGGTTCATTTCACCAGACCGACCCATAATCATCCTCGATAATCCTGGTTCTACCGATGACGCCGAAGATGTGGCTGACGAGACTCAGCTATCTTCTCGGATGACCGTCTCACATGAATCAAAATATGATAACAATCCCCAGGACATCGGCTTTCATTTCGTCGAGCACGGGGATTTGGTCCATCTGCAGTTTGCCAGTTTTCATCCGAGTCCACCAGGTGCCGGTAGTGGCGGTAGCAGCACCCGCACTGGCGCTAGTGTCGAAGTTGATAGCGTAGGAGGTGGTGGAGAGGTAGGGAAGAAAGAGCATGGGAGTAGAGAAGGCGCATGTTGCAATGAGCGGCAGAAACGCGAAGCCCATAAAGTGACTCCTAATGCTGAAGATGATGCTGTAAGCGCTGACGCAGACGCTGAGGTTCTGCCTCAATCGGGTGAGACAACTCAGCCAAAAAATCACGGGGACCAGCCTGATTCAGACACGCTACACTCCGAGGATACAGCAGGGTGGACCCTGAGCTCTCCGTCCTGGGAGTTCATCGGACCTGAAACTTCCACAGACCCACCGTCATCTCCCGACGATACAACTGACCAGGGACCACCGGACGTAACAGCACCTTCCGTCAGACCAGCAGCGCCTCCGGTCACACCAGTAGCGCCCCCTGTGAGACCAGCAGCTCGTCGAGACCCGCCCAGCAGTCGTCTGGGCCCGGCGCGGCTGGGCCCGGCGCGGCGCGGCGCTCCGGAGCGGCGCTGGCGGCGTCCCCAGCTGCCGTGCTCACTGGGCCTGCTGGTGACTGGTGTGGTGGCCAACAGCAGCCTGGTCAACCAGCACAACCGGGTGCTGGAGATGACGTTCCCCTTCGACGGTGCCTGGCCGGTCAGTGAGGCGGGGAGGGGAGGGGAGAGGGGGCTGAGCTGAGGATGGAAGTTAGGGAAATAGAGGGAATAAGAGAAAAGGAAAGTAGCTATGTTCCGAGAAGGGAGAGCCGTATACTCATAGTCCATACCTCAATGGTAGCAAGTAACGTGCTGCACACCCTACATGCTAAATCATCTTAAGAATTTCTCAGTTTGTGATTTTGCTGTGAGCTCGCAGTTCATACGTATGCACAGCTAACAATATTCGTGCTGGAGTTGATTATTCACTTCATCAGTTACTTGCCACTGTACTCAGAAGCAACTGAATTAAACGTTACTCGTCCGTGCGTTCCAGTTTCATTTTGAAGACACTGTTCATGCCAAACCAGCCGTGACCTGAGCTCAATTGTCGTTTCAGGGTGAGCTCGACCTCACTATTGAGGCGTGGCACGACACCACAGGAAAACTATTCTCTGAACGGCCGACAACGGCCGACAAACCAGGTGAGCCAGACAGTGACATTCTTGATTATATATGTCATTATAGTTTAGCTGGCGAGGCCGTTTTCCAGGTTACTCTAACTGACCACCCTAACATACAAAACAGAATCATAATAGGCATGCAATGCTGTCTTCGGGCTTGAAACCTGTAGTGTCTGAGTGTATTAAGTGCCGTGCCGGCCTGTCCGCACTGTAGCGAGTGGCGCCCCGCCCTCCTCTGTGATCACGTGATCTTGTGACCGCCGACCAATTCCTGGCCGGCTGGGTCAGTCGGTGCCGGGCAGCCAGCCAATACAGGCCTATCGAGGACGCGGACTCTACAGTGGCGACGAGGCAACCACTCACAGGCGGCGATGACCAACGAGAGCAAGGTGACCAGCCCTCCTGGAATGTCGGCTATTGGCATCGGTGAATACCAGGCGAGTACAGATTGGCAAGAATATGTCGAAAGATTTGAATTTTCTTGTTTTGCACAAGGTATCACTGAGGATGAGCGCAAAAAAGCCTTATTACTTGCATCTGTTGGCCAAGAAACTTATACGAGTATCAAGTCAGTTTTGTCACCGGCATCACCTGTTGGACTTCCATATGTGGAGTTGTTGGAGCGAGTGGGTCGGCATTTAGCACCCAAGCAATCAGTGATACTCAGCCGGTTTAAGTTCAATCAGTGCATTCAGGAACCTCATCAGTCAGCTGCTGATTACGTCGCTAACCTCAAGAGATTGGCCGAAAAATGTGATTTTGGTCAGACTTTGGACAGCATGCTTCGTGACAGACTTGTGTGCGGGGTCAAAGACTCCGTGTTGCAGAAGCGGCTTCTGGCGGAGGAGGACTCCCTGACGTTCGTCATGGCCGAGAGGTTGGCGTTGGCGGCGGAGTCGGTCACCAGAGACGTGGGTCAGCTCGCGGCGGGCCGTGCCGTCGGTTCGCTGGAATCTGAAGCGGTACACCGCGCCGATCAGCTGATTTCTGACCGGCAGCGCGCCGGTTCCGTGACCGGGTCAAGGTCAGTGGGTCGCGGTCGAGCCGCGGCGGCCGCCGGGTCGCGGCAGGCTGGCCGGCCGGGGCGGGGGACCGGTGACCGACCGGGAGGGTCCGAAGCAGCCGACATGAGGCGGCGTCAGGACTGCTATCGATGTGGTGGTATGCATAACCCACGGAACTGTCGATTCCGCGACTATCACTGTCATAGCTGCGGTGAGCTGGGGCACCTGAAACGCAAGTGTGTTCGAAGTGTCCATGCTGTAACCGACCCTCCTGCAGTTCAGAATGATGACAGTCAGAGTGAGTCAGATGTTTGCAGTATCTACTCTGTTGGCCGCCCCAAGTGTCCCCCGATCACCGTCGAGGTACTGGTTTTCGGTGTCCCTGTGCGGTTTGAAGTTGACACCGGGGCTGCTAGCACTCTGATGACCGCCGAAACGTTTCGGAATGTGTCGGACAACGGGGGGCATGGCGGGCTGACGCTCTCCAGGTCAGAGGCGAGGCTGCGCTCGTATACGGGAAACGCCATCCCTGTCATCGGTGAGTTCAGCGCCGTTGTGAGGTACGAAAGCCAGCATCTGGACCTGCCCGTTCTGGTCGTCGAGTCACACGGGCCGAATCTGCTGGGCCGTGATTGGTTGGCGACACTGAAGCTTGACTGGCGCGGCATCAAGCAGGTGAGAAACCTGGGTGAGTCACCTGGCGATGTAGTAGGCAAGCTGAAGGCCAAGTACAATGATGTGTTTTCAAAGGAGCTGGGATGTTTCAAGGATGTCGAAATTTCTTTTGACGTGGACCAGACTGTGTCGCCCCGGTTCATGAAAGCACGACACCTACCCTATGCTTACAGGCGCCGGGTGGAGGAGCAGCTTCAGGCGGAGGTGGAAGCCGGTGTCCTAGAGCCGGTGAAGTCGTCAGACTGGGCCTGCCAGATCGTTCCAGTCTTGAAGCCGGACGGTAAAATTCGCATTTGTGGCAACTTTAAACAGACGGCCAATCGGGCCATCCGTGTCGATAGATACCCATTACCTCGAGTTCAAGATCTGTTCGCACAAATGTCTGGGGGAAGAGTTTTTGCCAAGTTTGATTTGTCCCGTGCCTACCAGCAGCTCACTGTGTCCGAAAAGCAGAGATATCTGCTAACCATTAACACGCCAAAAGGCCTGTACCGCTACAAACGTGTACCGTTCGGGATAAATGCAGCCGTGGGACTCTTCCAGAGGGAGATGGAGAAGCTGCTGGCCGGTCTGCAGAATGTGTTCGTCTTCCTGGACGACGTGCTCGTCTCTGGGTGCGACGAAGTGGAGCTGCTGAAGACTGTGGAGGAGGTGCTGCGGCGTTTCCAGGACGCTGGCGTCAAGGTGAGAGAGGACAAGTGTAGCTTCTTCGTGCCATCAGTAGAATATCTGGGACACGTGATTAGCAAAGATGGTGTTCGGCCAACCCAGGCCAAGCTCGATGCCATTTTCGGTGTCCCGACGCCAAAGAACGCAAAAGAGCTGCAATCATTCCTTGGAATGGTAAACTACTACTCAAAATTCATGCCAGGTCGCGCTCACGTGCTTAGCCCGCTTTTCTCCTTGCTGAAGAAAAATGTTGGATGGACATGGGGAAAACGAGAACAAAATGCGTTCGATGAGTGCAAACGACTGCTCGCCTCCGATCGCATTTTAGTGCATTATAACCCAGATGTACCCCTGGTACTCACCTGCGACGCGTCATCTAGGGGCATCGGCGCTGTGCTGTCGCACCGGTTCACAGACGGCACAGAAAAACCGGTTGGGTTTGCATCTCGATCCCTGAACTCTGCCGAAATTCGGTATAGCCAGATTGAGCGCGAGGCATTGGGAATTATCTTCGGCGTTACTGCGTTCCGTGAGTACTTGTACGGACTGCCCTTTATCTTGGAAACAGATCACAAGCCTCTTCTAGCTTTGTTTGGGGAGACGAGAAGCATGCCAGAGATGACCAGCAGCAGGCTAAAGAGGTGGGCTCTTCGACTGTCAGAGTTTTCCTACACTATTCGTCACAAATCTACTCGTGACATTCCTCACGCCGACTGCCTCAGTAGACTGCCGACGGGCTCGGCATTAGACATGCCCGTCAGCGATGATACAGAGGCAGAAAGAGTGCTCCTAACGACTCAGTTAGAGGATATAGGAAGTCTGAGCCCAGAAAAATTGGGAGTGATGACAGCACGAGACCCTGTTCTTTGCAAGGTGGTTCGCTGCATTAGGACTGGTTGGGCACGCGAACCGGGCGATGAATTGCGGCCTTACAGTGCCCGTCAAGCTGAGCTGTACGAGCTAGGCAATGTCATCATGTGGGGTGATCGTGTAGTCATCCCACCAAAAGCCCGCAGCACCGTCTTAGCTGAGTTGCACGCCTGTCATTTCGGTGTCGTAAAAATGAAATCTATGGCTCGGTCCGCAGTCTGGTGGCCCGGAATTGATCGAGATATAGAGCAAATGTCGTCCGGATGTGATATCTGTCAGCTCCACCGTCCCGATCCACCACAGGAAGAACTCCATCCATGGGAGTGGCCGCAGCGTCCTTGGTCTCGCCTGCATGTTGATTTTGCTGGGCCTGTGCGTGGAAGGTACTATCTGGTGTTAGTTGACGCATTTTCAAAATGGATTGAGGTTGAAGAGATGACGTCGATCACTGCTCAGGCTACGATTTCTCGTCTCACTGCCATATTCAGTCGCTTTGGGCTTCCTGACATGATAGTGTCAGACAACGGACCTACTTTTACCAGTGAGGAATTCCAGACTTTCCTCACCAGAAATGCAATCGTTCACAGGACAACCGCTCCATACATGCCGTCTTCCAACGGGCTGGCTGAGAGAGCGGTGCGAGAGCTGAAGATTCGGCTCAACAAGATGTCAGCTGATCAAGTAAGTGATCGTATCTCAAAATGGCTGTTTTTCTACAGAACCACCCGGCATGCTACGACCGGTGAAACGCCTTCACGGCTCCTGCTGGGCTACCAGCCGGTGACGAGATTTGACCGCCTGAAGCCCAGTCTGGAGCGCAACGTCAGGACGAAGCAGTTCACCCAAGTTCAGCAGCACAAGAAGCGTCACCCTACCAGCCGGCCAACGCTGTCTCCAGGAGATATGGTGCTCGCTCGCTACTACCGTCAGGGTAAGGCGTTTTGGCGTCCAGCCTCGATTGTCAGGTGCTTTCACCCGATGTTTACAGTGCGTTTCGACACTGGTCACATCTGTAAGAGACACATCAATCAGCTTCGCCCACGATCATGTCCCGCAGCGCGCTCGCGCGAGGGCGAGAACGATTCCGTGTCCTTGACGCGGGTGCCGACTTTTTCCCCCAGCCGATGTCGTGGATCCCTGGAGCCGAGCGACAGCCATCCGGACTCGCCGCGCCCTGGTGTGGGAGCGCGCTCTGGCTCCGCCGGCGGCTCGCATGCCGCTACGCCGCTGGGCACTGCCCTGGCCTCGCCAGGAGGAGGCGCAGAGGCGGTGCGGCCTGCGTCCCCTGTCGACGTCGACGAGCCGGGGGACTCTGTTCGGCCGCCCGAGGACCGCCGAGCCGCGTCTCCCGCCCGCGTCGCTGACGGCGTGGGAGCGAGGGATGCCGATGGGGAAGAAAGGCGCTATCCTGTGCGCGTGAGGCGAGCGCCTGATCGTTTCGGACACTGATGTGCCGTGATTCTATCCGGTAGAAACCGTGACTGATTCAGTTAATTTTGTTTTGTTAACTCTGACCATTGACTCGTTCAATGTGTCATTTTGGTGTCGGGGAGGTGTAGTGTCTGAGTGTATTAAGTGCCGTGCCGGCCTGTCCGCACTGTAGCGAGTGGCGCCCCGCCCTCCTCTGTGATCACGTGATCTTGTGACCGCCGACCAATTCCTGGCCGGCTGGGTCAGTCGGTGCCGGGCAGCCAGCCAATACAGGCCTATCGAGGACGCGGACTCTACAAAACCTAAAGACCACATACCCGCTCCTTGACCTAACCTTGATCTCACTCTTGAACTAACCCTTGATCTCACCCATGAAACCACCACTGACCTGACCGCTGACCTGATCCTTGAATGATCTTTCTCCTGACACGTGACATGACCGCTAATCTGAATTATTTTCGCATCCCACCTCCTCTCCTGTGCCCTAACACCCGATCTGACTCACTGATATGACTCATGACCTGCCCCGTTGCAATGACCGCTGAGCTGACTTCTCCACCCTGCCCTGTCGTCAGTGGCGCGGCCTCGGATCATCAGTCGGACGGTGGTGCGCCGCCCGCTGGCCCCGGCTCCCGGCTGGTCCCGTGACAGGGTCCGTCAGGGCCACGTGCAGCTCGAGTACGACGTGAGACTGGTGTGTGACCCGAACCCGGCATCACGGGGAGCCGACTGTATGACCGAGGGAACGGTGAGTGCTAACTGGAAACGGGGGCCGTGCGAATACAGCACTCCGAATGGATGACCACTGTATGCTTAGGGAACCGTTATGACTTGGACTCTGCGCAGGTACGACACAAATAAAAAGAAACATTTTAATCATTGAATTGAGTCAATACAGATTATCTAAACAACTATTGAAACTGTCGCTGAAAGTCACACAAATGGGCAATTTATCTAGAATTAAACGCATACTTATTTCTATCACTCTATATCCAAACGCATTTTCTATGTTGGAATTTTCAGCAACCACAAATAATACTGGTGTCCAAACCTAAATGCATCCTCATCATCTATATTACTATTTGAGGAGGGTGCGTCTGTCCGTTACCGAGGTCCCGACTTGGTCGTGCTTTGCGTGGACTACAGGCCAGACCGTTGCACCTAGCGCCCTGAAATTTGCACAACTTATAGATCAAGGATGCGTGACGTGCCTTTGAGGGGTCTCAGCTCGATCGGATTGATAGGGAGCGCGTGATGCGTGCTCAAAAAGTGCAAATTCGCGTCATAGACTTTACATGTATAAATCGGCGTGCGAAATCGGGCGAAAACGGCTAATTTTGGCCGACACGGGTCCAGTTCCCGTGCAATATCTTGGTGACCAGGGGTCCGACCGGCACGGGGAAAACAGCATCGTGTAGATAATTGAATGGGCAATGGAATCGTGTGCGATACAGAGGATAGCACGCGCCACGTGCACCGGGGAGGGCACTTTTGTTGAAAAATTGCGGTTTTTGGCGGATTTTGGAATTGATTTTATTTTTAGGTGACCGTTAAACAGGGCGAGTTGGAACAACGCCTGTTGGCAAGAGAAATGTACCGCCTATCATATAAAAATTGTGAAAAGCTGATTGATCCAAATCAAGGTGGTACAAATCACGGGAGAAAATGGTGTTTGTCAATTTTGTGTCACTTTGTTCATCAAAATGGCTTTGCTCCATGATCTGATGTATCTGGCAATCAAAAATGGCACCGTTGGAAAGAGCATTCAATTCTGACCAAGGTTAAGTCTTCATTTTTGCATGATGAGCAACAGTATTCTTAAAAACGTAAATTTTCCAAACCATTGCATCGTCATTTTTAGCGAAATTCATCGATGGCCCTCAAAAGACTTCACGCCAGTTTTCGAATCATTCTAAAGTAGAACGCATGATAATACGACACGGGCACCTCGATGCGATGTATCTTTTTGTTTCTTACAAAATGCTTGGCCGTCAAAAAGCAATCGAACGAAATGGATATCTACCAACCAAATCGACACAGACCAACCCAATACCCACGGGTCAAAAAATCCCCCCTTCGCGTTGCGGAGCACGCGGGTAACCCTAGTGATTCATCTAAATCTGCCGCCCAGAGAGCGGCTGGTCGCGGACAGTCTCTGGTCACTCCCCTCCAGTGCGGGTGACCCGAGTCCTCGGAAAGTCCCGGCGAACGGCGGAGGTGGGCGGCCGCTGACCGTGTTCGGATGATATCGAGATGGACGGACCGGCAGACACACCTATAGAGAGTCCCCCGACAGGCCGTGACTAGATATTCCGCTGATACTCTGCTCCGTATATGACCCGTGACCGAGTGCCGGCGGGGATGGGTAGCTTGTTGGTTTGTTCTTTAATTCACGCAGCATCACACAGGGAGTTTATATTTTTATACCGATCGCAGCTGGTTTAAAACATGATAATAAACTGACGGCAGCAAAACATACACCGCGCACCGACGGGGGTCTGCGCCAACTTCGCACCGACGGGGGGGGGGCGGATGACCGCCCCCCCTGAGATCTCGAGAACGAAGCAAGATAGCGACAAGCGGTAAACGGCATCGGATACGCACGGACAAGGTCTACAATTTTTACCGAGGTCATTTTCAGGTCAGGAAAAAGATGACGTCACAGGGGTCAAAAAAGTCAAAATGGCGGCGCTAGATATGGAGAGTTTTTCTCGAATAACTTTCGAATTAGTCAAGATAGGAACAAACTAAGGGCATCATCGTGATCCTCTTGTCAATCCGCATCGAATGATATATATGTTGACCTCGAAAGGTCAAGGTCAAAGGTTGACCTCAGGTCACGTGACCTCGAGGTCATCATGTATATCATTCGATGCGTCTTGACGATCTGAACACAATGAGACCATCCGCGCGGTTGTATCTTGTTCCTGTACGGAGTTATTGGCAAAAACCCTTTGGTGACCTTTGATGACGTCACATGACCTTACAGCTGCCCAACAGCAAAACTGACCTCAAGGTAGTAAAGTTTGATCGTATATGAAGTCATGTATGTTATATGGGGCCATTTCGACCCGTTTTAGTGGTAAAAACAGGGAGTTGATTTTCCCCCATTGACTTATAATGGGGAGGTCGAGAAATTGACCTGACCTTAGGTCACCGATATCAAAATTCCGAGATATACAAATTGTAGCTACTAATGACCTAATAACATCCTGCGACTTTCAAAGGCCTCCGACATCTACTGTAGCTCTGGCACGGTGACAACGTTGCAAAAAAGTGACTCGAGGTTGGGTCATTCAAAGTGACCTGGTGACCTGACCTTAAAAGTTAGGAGGTTAAAACTTGCACACCATGTGTAAAATTGATGAGAAAATAGTCGTACCAAATTTCGCGGCGCTACGCTCCGCGGTTTCCCGCTATTCGCAAAAAAAAACTCAGGGGGCGGATATCCGCCCCCCGTCGGTGCGCGTGTTAATCATTAGCACCCCCGGCTTAAGTAAGTGCATAACACACTCGTGGTAGCGGAGAATTACACTGCAACAGAGCCCTCCACTAGAATAAAGCCCAGGTGGAGAGTTTCGCCAGCTGGTGCAGCATCTCCACCCTCCCTACCACGCGTGAGCTACCAATCAACCACCTTGGCTCGGCGACCCTCTAAGGCCGTCCGAGGCAGCTGGTGTCCGGGCTGCGCTCCGAGCAGGTCGCTGGGTCACGGGCCGCCCGGCCCGCCGCTCTCCGTTCATCTATAGACGGCGAATCGGTGCCGGCGACCGCCCCCACTGGCGCGGCGCTGCCCGGCGGCCGGCACCGTCGCGGGCCGATCCAGGTCGCCAGGGGCAGGCACTTTCTCCGGCGGGCGCATGCGCGCGACGGCAGTGCTGGAGGTGGCGACGACGAACAGCTGTGAGTCGGTGCCGGAGAGCTGAGCAGGGAGAAGGTGGAGCCCGGCTGTGTCTGTGTGAGCCTGCAGTGTGATTGAAGTTCCGTGATTGGAACGTTGTGAGACTCCAGTGCTGCCAGCCATGCAGAATTGTGTCTGAAGTGTAGTTTGGCTTGAAGAAGAGCCAGAACCTCGGTGGTGTCTCAAATCGGTAGAGGAACATCAATTGTGTAAAATGTGGACTGTAGCAGTCCTCTCCCTACTCGTTGGAGCTGCCTCCGCAGAATTTCGATTGGTAAGTACCGCAGGTCTCCCCCAATACGGGCGCCCCACGCGTGACACCCCCGGCGCATATATCCGGGGTTTCACTTTCCTCCGGCTCTGAGTCGCACGCCGGTCGGACCGGGGATCAGCTGCGAGGGCTCGGTCGGGCCATACTCGGCCGAGGGTGCAGGGCTAGCTGCTGCAGAGTTGGGACGGTATCCGGGTGATCGTGGGTCAGTGAAGTCATACAGCGCCCTGTCCCCAGCTGCAGACTGACACACGCACCTGCCGGCCACCGGGGAAGCTGGGAACGAAGGGGTAGACAGAGGCTGGAACGGGAAGATACAGGCTGGGGTACGGCGGAGTAGAAATATATAGACTGACGTACGGTTGCGGTGGGCAGAGATCGAAGCATACGGCGGAGGTAGACATAAACTAGGGTATATACGGCTGGAATAGACAAAGGCTGGGGTATGGCTACAGGTAGACAGAGGCCGGGCTATGGTAGGCGTAGAGCATGGCTGGAACACGGCGGGTTAGATACAGGCTGCGGTAGGGCGGGGCAGACAGAGGCTAGGGTACGGCTGGGGTAGATAAATACTCCCCCGGCTGTTCTGGAGTGGAAACTGAGATGGAAAAACAAAAGCATGCGTATTGCTCGTAATTCTCGCCCGGTATGACTGATAGTGATATGCGTTCGTTTGAGGTTGGCGGTCTCCAAATATTTCAACGAGCTGGAACACGATGAAGTTAAGATTCCACATACTATGCATTCAAACAGAAGATTAAATGTTACGCTACATAATTATCAGGCGTGGGAAGTTCGTGGTCGAGGGATTATCACTGCGGGTGAAATTTATGATACCGCCCTCACGCAATGCTTTCTGTTTTCATTTAATCCATTGTTTAGCATTATCATTCATGGCAAGAGCTTACGATGGCGAAATGTTTTGGGCTAAGTAATATCATATATGATATAAGATTCATTGGAAAGCTTTTTATCTTGAAATAGATAAGCTGAAATACAGACGCGACCATCATGCCACGCATCAGTTAGATCAGTGATTGTCCATTGATGCTGTAACATCCGATCTGGATCACTGTCCACTAGTGTGACAGAAACTCGATTAAAATCTTGATCGATCTCGATTAAAATATTTTTTTCCCGAACAAAATTATATAATTCGACTCATCCGAGCAGGGGCGCGGGAACTACTTTCAGACTGGTGGGCACACCTTTGCGGTGTTTGCGGTGTTTGCACGTTTTGTGGTGTTTGTGTTTTGCGGCGGGAGGTCGTTGTGTGCTTTTAGCAGTGTTTGTGTTTGGCGGCGGGCCGGCGGGCGATGCGGGCGGTTTTCTTTTTTGCGTCGTTTCCGGTGTTCAATTTGTTTGCGGTTGGCTTTTAGGTGTTTTCGGTTGGCGGTTAGCGTGCTGCGATGCGGGCGATTTTATTTTTTGCGTTTTTTCATTTTTTTTGCGGTTTGCGGCGGGCGGGCGTTTATTTGTTGTTGTTTTTTTTGCGACAATTGCGTGCGTTTCGGGCGTGCGTTTTGCGCGTTTTGCGGTTTTTGCGGTTTGCGGCGGGAGGGCGTTTTTCACAATT